ATTGAGTCCATAGGTTCTAATCTCCAGTTTGGGTTTCCTCGGAGAATAGTGTATGATCAACTGGTCTGAATCTGAATTCTCAGGTCTTGATCCTCACCTGGTCCCATTGTGACCATTCTCCAGTCTGCTTGATATTGACAAAAGAGAGAGATCAACCCGTGAGTTGTGTGCCTCAAAAGTTCCCAGTCGATACCTCATGCCACTCATTTCTTCCACTTCATCCTGAAGTCCATTCCAGAATAAAAGATATAATCTGTCGGCCAAATCTTGAGCAGAAGCATCATCACTAATCCAGCATTCTCATACCTCTTGATAAATTTTTCCACAGGCATGTAAGTCCATCAAAGAAAAGTCCTTATCCATGGGCATGATTTTGACTGATCTAGTGCTGGTTCCTTGGTACCTCGATAAAACTGGCTCCTTGTCTAGGAAGTGAGTGTCTGGATTCCTGGTGAATGAATGGCTAATGGCTGATTGTTGTAAATGTTGTTCGATCTCCAGACTAATGAGAGATTGTCTGTCCAAGGTTGGAAGTTGAGGGTGGTACCTAGTTGCGCGTGGATTCCGGATCAGCGTGCGCCATGGGGGTTGGCGTGCGGTTATCAACCCCCGTAAGTGTTGTTGTTAAATCTGGTATCCTGAGACATGTCTTCTGATTGATTGAGAAAGTTGTGACTGATGTGTTATGGTTATTCAGGGGAAGCAGAGTGGAAGCCAATGTAATATAAGGAAAAGGAGTGTAGGAATTGAAGAAATAGTTCTGGGAAGTGGAAAGGTAATAGATATGTATTCAAGTAAAATGATGAAAATGAATGGGAGGAAGTATGGTAAAGATGAGGATGGATTGATGTTTATGAGTTGACTAATATTCTGTAGATATCTGGAGAATAATAAATCTGGAATAGAGAGGAAAGGATATGAGGGATAGCAATGGAGAGGGAGGAAAGTAGGGGAAATGGTATGTAGGTAGTATTACTGGAAAGCTGATAATAATAGTGTTACTAGGACTAAAATCTAAAGGAAGTCAGGCCACTGTTGGGACACCACTTGTGGAACTACTCAACCAGGGAGATAGAGCTTGGAGGGGATATAGACAACTACACTAGTGCTAATGTAAGTTGTTACTACAGGTGCTGATGAGGCTGCCCTCCTGTACAATGCTGATGGGAAGAGTGTAACACTAAGAAAAAGAAGAATAGAGGTGTGGCTGATTTCTACTTTATCTTAGACTACTATTACTGATGAGCTTGTGTATGTAGTACCTACTGAGGTGTGAGGAGGAGGAGGAGGAATGAGGTGTGAGGGGATAATACTGGCAAGGGTGTAACACTGGCAAATGAGGAATGACACTGGCAAATGATGATAATCTGGCAACTGAGGATTTATAACTGGCAAGGGGTGATGTATAACTGGCAAATATAACTGGCAATGATATCTGGTAAAGATATAAGGGTGATGATAATTTCTAGTACTAAAACTATGGATAGACTAACATAAAGCATGCATGGAAATCACATAAGGGAAAAATACATGAGGAGGAAGGAAGAGTATATATGTGTACAACATGTACATACAACAGCAAAGCACCATGGCTGGGGAAATCCTGGCTATGGGTAATGTAAATCTTAAACAGTAATGAGGGATGAGAAATAATGTAACCTAGAGATAGATGTTCTGTGTATACAAATGCTAATCATAGATGGAAAGTCAAAGCTGTGTGAAGAGAAATATGTATATGATGTAGTGCAGATAAGATGATGTACTATGATGAAAGAGTGATGCCACATAGATACTGTAACTAAATAATGAGTAATGTATATGTACTGTATGTACAAAGTAATGTACTGTTCTGTAACTATGAATATACTGAAGAGATGATAACTAGAGAACTATAAGAGCTACTGAAAAGCTGTAAGAGGTGACTAGGGGTGAAATGATGTGTAGAATCTGAATATGAAACAATACTGGAAAGAATATATATAAAATGATGTGAAAAATGAGGATACATGGAAAGGTATGGACATACCACACCGTACATGGTTGTACATTGGCATTGCGGCCTCTTTCCTGTTGCTTCATAGCCATGCCAACATTAACCACCCGCCCCTTCGCCAAGGAATGGATCAAAACAGGTGACACTCGTCACGGCCTTACATCTCA